AAAATAATAAGGGTTGAAATTTTCCCTCTACCATTGCTAATTACTTATCAAAGAGTCGCTCGCCTCGATAGAAATGTTATGCTTTATTAATAATTTTGAGAATTTATTAAAACTATATAGTATTACAAGTGATTCTCATAAAAATTAAGCTTACATAGTAGAAAACAAGCGATAAAATATTTTTCCCGGTATTCATATCAAAACAGCTCAGGTTCTCGTGTTTTTTTCGAATTTTAAAGTCGTCTCACGAATTTGTTTGATCATATGGTCTACGTCTTCAAGTGGGGTGGTTTTTATGCCAGTGCCGCCAGATTACCTTCGATTGTTGAAAATATACCAAATTGACATGTTAAGTGTTCCTCTAAAACATGTGTTTTGTCTACTTCGTATGGGAAGACTTTTTTACGCATATTTTAGTCTCACAGAGATTTAGTATGATAATCTAGCTAGTCTAGTCTATATTTCTAGATATTCACAAAAAATATATAAAACATTCTGTGACCGTCAATTTTTATTCATATGTTTTTTGTATAAAAATAGGCTAAAAAACGTTTTTTCTATCAAAATTTTATTTGAAAAATATGGTTTAAAAGTTATTTCAGTTTTTAATTTATTACATCTAACTGCTGTTTGGCATCAGTGATAACCATATTAAAGACGTTTTACCACTAAAGAAAATTATATCGAGCTATGGTTAACATTTTTTAAACAAATATACTAATCCTATACGTTGAAATTCTTAAGACAGTCATATCTAGCTTAAGTTGACATTTTTAAGACAGTTATTTATAGCCTAGTTTGAAATTCTTAAAATAATTCACACAAGCTATATCTATAGATAAAACTGTCTTAATAATATTAGTTTTTAGAATGTTAAACTAGGCCAGAAATAACTGTCTTAAAAATAGCTTAGATTGACATTCTTAATAATGTTATATTAAGCTTCTGTTAAAATTCTTAAAGCATTTATGTATATCTAGCCTAGGTTTTTAAAACAGTCATATGTAGCTTAAGTTAAAATTCTTAAAACAGTCATTTATTAAGTCATTTTTAATACAGTTATATCTATCACAGGTTAATATTCTTAAGACAGTCATAGGTAGCTTAAGTTGTTGACATTCTTTAGACAATTATTACTAGCCTAGTTTGACATTCCTAAAACAGTCATATCATTTTTAAGACAGTTATATCTATAGATATATCTATTAGATATAGCTTGTGTTGGCGACATGTCATATCTATATGTTGACATTTTTAAAACAGTCATATCTAGCTTAAGTTGACATTCTTAAAACAGTATTATTTAGGTTGATATTCTTAAAACAGTCTTTTATAGCTTAAAATGACAGCCTAGTTTGACATTTTTAAAAAAGTCATATCATTTTTACAGTTATAATTATAGATACAGCTTGTGGTGACATGTTATATCTAAATGTTGACATTCTTAAAACAGTCAAATCTAGGTTGACAGTTGTATCTAGCCTAGGTTTACATTTTTAAAACAGTCATATCTAGCTTAAGTTGACATTCTTAAAACAGTATTATTTAGGTTGATATTCTTAAAACAGTCTTATATAGCTTAAAATGACATTCTTAAGACAGCCTAGTTTGACATTTTTAAAAAAGTCCTATCATTTTTGACAGTTATAATAATAGATACAGCTTGTGGTGACATGTTATATCTAAATTTAGATAGATTTGAACATTAATGTTGACATTCTTAAAACAATCAAATCTATGTTGACAGTTGTATCTAGCCTAGGTTTACATTCTTAAAACTGTCATATCTTGCTTAAGTTGACTTTCTTAAGAGTCATATCTAGCTTAAGTTGACATTTTTAAGACAGTCATATCTAGCCTAGGTTGGCATTCTTAAGGCAGTCATATCTAGCTTAATTTGACTTTCTTAAAACAGTTATATCTAGTCTAGGTTGACATTCCTAAAACTGTCGTCTCTAGCCTAGGTTGACATTCTTAAAACAGTCATCTTGCTTAAGTTGACATTCTTAAGTCAGGTAGATATATCTAGACTAGGTTAACATTCTTAAGACAGTTAAATCTTACAGTCTTATTACAGTCTTATCTAGCTTAACTTGCCATTCTTAAGAATGTTAAACCTAAGCTAGATATAACTGTTTAAGAGTGTAAATAAAACAATTTAGCATGTAATGTAAGTAGCTTATTTAGAGAATCAAAACCACATTTTATAATTTTTGAAGGTCCTGTATTTTTGTTTTCAGAGCTATTGTGGCAAATAAAACTGAAATTCATCGATTCTTTTCACCATCCAGACAGTGTTAATCATTCGGGGAATTTATATTGAAACATCCAGTCAGATTACTTCATTAAACGGGCGACTTGAAATAGTTGATTATTAGATTTTCCGATTTTCCCGTGCTGTCTGTGATGCTAATAAAATTAAAGATAGCTAGCTGCGTCAATCCGCGGGATTTTCTTCCGATATCGCAGTAATTCTATTAACGAAGCGTTCCGATTTACCTACATGAATATGAATTCGTTAGAAAATTTTGCTTTGTACGTATTTGTACGTATTTGTACGTATACGTTAAAACTCGGTTTATTGAATCATTTTTTAATCGATATCGGTATTGTTCTTGATAAAACAATTACCAAGCTAAGTAATATTTAGCTTAAGTTAGAATGCAAACTTTACTTAAATATAGCTGTCTTAAAAATGTCAACCTACGCTAGCTTAAATTGATTCTGGCAAAGGCTCTATCTGACCTACAAACGGTGCATTCGAACTATTGTTGAAAAGGGTTATGCTGGATGGAAAATTGAATTCACCCGGTAATTAGTTTAAGGTTTTAAGGGTGGCGCAGCGCGAGTAGAGAAAAAGGGATTCCGACGCTGCAGACGCGCGCGGCGAGATTAACGTAATTAACGGACGACACACGCGGCGTCGCGACGCAAAGCATCGTAATTTCGTTAGGAGAGAGAAAAGTTTTCCACGTACGGTTTTATCTGACTGACTATCCAATTTTCAATAGGGTTTTAACTATTAACTTTATTAACTCGAATAGACGTTGCTGTAATTTGATTGTCCTAATGGAAATGGCGCGAAAAGCCGCATTCAAATATCGTTTTTATACCGAGTAGTTCGTTTGTACCACATGTTAGTTCAAATATACAATGGGTCATTTGAACTACCGCGTGTTTCGGTCGGTATTCAACAAACTGTGTGAACTGTGAAAAGTAGTTCATTTGTCCAACCTGGTAGTTCAAATTTGCACGTATAATTTGAACTACCGCGTGTATTTGGTCATTTTACAACAAACTGTATCAAATGCGAAAAATAGTTCGTATGTCCCAAAATAGTTAAAATTTACAAAAATTCTGCACTAAGTAGTTGAAAACATGAGTATATAAGTCAAGGTTGGCATCGTTACTTTGTATCTTGTTTTATTGTGTACCATTAATTGTATGTAGGTATTGAATTTCTTGGTATTTTGATACCTACCTAGGCAAAATAATGTGTGCAATAATTTTCCAGTTAAAAACAGCAAAATATGTAGGTCACTAAAAATCAATCACGCAATTATAATGACGTCATATTTGCGCTATATTGGGTTTGAATTAAGAAAAAATAATAATTTAACTAAGTATATTTTTGTTTACACAATATAAAGCGAAAAACATAATATTGTTTTAAACACTTTGTTTTATCTACTCCCTCATTGATGTGACTTTATAGCGTTTTAGTCACGGGCTACAGTTAGCAACAGTGGCTTTTGGGCATTTTAGTCACGGGATGAAATTAGTTTTATTATAAATTGCGAAAAAGTAAGGTTATATCCGTTGACTGTTGACAGATGTCAAATTTTTAAGAAATAAAATTGGCTTTAAATTCTTATTTGTGTTCGTCGTAGATAAAGTATAGTAGGCAACTTGTTTTATAAACTTCTCCAGACACTCCTTTTTATTAAACACTCGCTAGCAAGCTTCGCTCGTGCCTAATAAAACTCGTAACTAAAATGGCATTTATAAAACTTGATATAAATATACTATTTTTTATTTATTCTAATTATTTCTAAAGCTCGTTTAAAATTTAGAAATATTAAGTGCCCCAATGGTTATAGATAACTACTAAAGCTTTAATTAATAACAATATAAATATATATTATTATATTATTATAATATTACATATGTAGGTATCTCAGAGAAAATATCTCTTAAAGGTAATATTCAGAGACGACATTTTATTTTAAGATCTGTAAACAAGTCATATATGGATAAATATAGATAAAATAAACTTAAACCGGTTCATTTTCATACTTTATTTTAAAGATTTAAGAAATTGGTTAAAAAATGGTAAATAAACCTAAAATTACCAAATATTAACGTATTTTTAGCCAGAAAGTAAATTAACCAAAAAGTTAAATTTCCTTAACATAACGTTAACGTAACCAGTTGTGCTCCTTGGGCTACCACACATCACCAAAAAAAATTACACTCGAACGATCACAAACATTGCTATAGCTATGAGCAACTCAAAAAACAATACAATTTTTAGTTTAGGAGAAAAAAAGTTTATTAAGAACATTAATATTATTTTAATGTTTTTTATTTATTCTCAAATTATTAAATGTTTTTTAGACCACCCTGTATACCCAAAAAATTGAATTCTCTTTAATTTTGACATTTTGAGGTCGCAGTAATGTTTTTTTTTGTAAATTAATAATTAATATTTCTTAATACCTACCATGCATCAAATAAATAAATAACGTTATTTGCGCAAATTCTAAGCTTTGTTAACATAAAATAAATTAATTTATTGACAAAGCAAGGCTGAATTTCCATAATGGCTACTTTGTTCGAAACAAAAACATTTTATCAAAACCGTGATATTATTGCAAAGTTATTGAAATAAATCTCTTGTCATCAAATATCCGATTATTACGAATAGTTCCTGGAATTTAGATAAACAATTAAACAATTAGCACACGATTAATCAATTTTATTTTTTCAATTTTTTTCAGAGAGCTACATTGGCTGAAAAAGAAGTGGCAACGCTGAAAGAACAAATGTCAAATCAACAAAACAATTGCGAAAACAAGGAAACGTCAAACATGGAAAGTCACCAATACGAGAACGAGCTAGCCAATAAAGAAAAAGAAGTAAGAATATGTACAGAAATTATAATATAATTTTTACGAAATGTGTCTGAAGGAATTCCTTTAGTTTATTTCAGTAACATTTGTGTCGATTTGTCACCTGAATGCATTACAAAAATAAATTCCGATACATTTCGAAAAAATCATTTTCTAAAAATACACTGTCCCCTATCGAAAACACGCACAAAAATAGATTGAACAATAATATTTCGTCGCAGCTTCTCTCGAAAATTATCCAAATTGGATATTTGAACTATCGGTTTAAATGAACTACCTTTAAGTCCAGGATTTAAAGCAGTCGTTAAACTCACGCGATTTAACTAATCGTTGAAGATAAGGGACTGTTTATTGGCAAAATATCACAACTGCAAAGAAAACAATTAATTGTGGCGAAATTCTTTTATTTTTGGGTTGAAAGGCGATTTATTTGATGCAGTTTATTTAAACTATCTTTTTCTTTGTCTTTTATTGTAATTTTATGCCAATTTTATCATTTCGCCGATAATTTTCATTAACGAAATTAACAAAAAGGTCAAAAACCTTACGTACAGTACTTTTCGTATTTTTATCATATTTATGTGACTACCTAAGCCCGATATTTATTTGCCAAAACTATTAATTCAAAAATTAGTCACGCCATAATAAATATAACACAAACCACTCGCAGTAGGCGTATGATGAACATAACAAATGCACAGAACGCTTAATCGAGTTCGCTTCGCTTTTTTCAAAACAATCGAACACCTAATGACTTTTATTTCGAGATTTGTTCGACATCCGCCGTGCCAAGTTTTATTAAATCGGTTCGAAAATAGACGACAGATTAAAATGTTTACGAAATGTCCTAAATCCACCCCTGCGTAAAACGCCGACTGTTTTTCAAGGCATTCTACAGAAATTTTATGGTAAAACAATTGCCTCGCTAAGCGGAAGCATATTCAAAGATAAATATGAATTATCAAAACCTTATTATCTAAATAATTTCAAATGAATTATTGGTGCGTTTTGAGCAACCCTTTCTACATTGCGATTTATAACTATTTCAAAGAATTCAGAGCATGTTTAACGTTTATTCGCCTTTTTATCGCATCGCAAAGATCTTTGAATTTATCTAATTGTTACATGAAATATGCAGAGAAGATTTTGTACATTATTTTAGAGTCATATTTCCAACTTGGCATTCTTAAACCAATTATCTGGCTAATTTTTAAAACAGTTATAGCGAGCTTAAGTTGATATTCTTAAAACAGTTAGCTAGTTTAAGTTAACATTTTTAGTTAGTTAGTTTTAGTTAACATTCCTAAAATATTAATAGCTAGCTTAGGTTGACATTCTTAAAACAGTCAAGCTTTAATTGATATTCTTAAGACAGTTATAGTTATCTTAAGTTGATATTTTTATGACAATAATATCTAGCTTGAGTTGACATTTTTAAAACAGTTATATCTATTTGTAGTCAACAATGTTAGCTTACATTTTTTAGACAGTTATACCTAATTTAAAACAGTTATATCCAGCTTAAATTGGCATTTTCAAAACAGTTATAGCTAGCTTAAGTTGAAATTATTAAAACATTTATAGCGAGTTTAAGTTAAGATTTTATTTAGTTAGTTTTAGTTAACATTCCTAAAATAGTTATAGCTAGCTTAGGTTGATTTTTTTGAAACAATCATATCAAGCTTTAGTTGATGATCTTAAGACAGTTATTGCTATCTTAAGTTGATATTTCTAAGACAATAATATTTAGCTTGAGTTGACATTCTTAAATCAGTTATATCTAGTTGTAGTTAACAATGTTAGATTTTTAAGACAGTTATAGCTGTCTTAGGTTGACAATTTAAAACAGTTATACCCAGATAGAGTTGACATTTTAAAAACAGTTATAGCTAGATTAGGATTCTTAAGACAGTCATATTTTAAGCTTTAGTTGATATTATAGCTATGTTAGGTTGACAATTTAAAACAGTCATATTTAGCTTGAGTTGACATTTTTAAAACATTTATATCTAGCTTATGTTGACATTCTTAAAAAAGTCATATTAAGCTTTAGTCAGAGAAAGATTTTGGGTTGGGAATATTTTTATAAATCATTATGTTGAAATTTTAATATAAAAATCGTGTTTCTCAATTTTTACTTTTTAAAAATGTTTTTGGGCCCCTGCTCTGGTTGATATTTTAATACAGTTTCTAGTTTTAGTTAACATTCTTAAGACAGTTATATCTACCTTAAATTGACATTCTTAAAACAATAATAGCTAGCTTAGGTTGACATTCTTAACAGTTAAATCTAGTTTTAGTTGACATTTTTCAAACAGTTGAATCTTCTTTAAATTGACATTTTTAAAAGTTTGCAAATATCAACTGTTTTTAGATTGCCAATTTAAGCTAGCTATAACTGCCTTAAGAATATCAGCCCATGCAAGCTACTACTGTATTAAGAAGCTATAAATGGATGGTGTAACTGTCTTAATTCTGACTTTTTATTTATTTATCACAGTTACACATACAAACGCGAGATGTATTGTTTAATAATAAACAATTATGTTTAAAGTGTTTGCACAAACGGCGGTGAGATGTATAGGAAAAACATTCTAAAGTATCGTATATTTTGATCAAAATTATCCCCTGTGAAAACCGTGGGAAAATCCGGAGAAAATCATTTATTACGTCGCATTTTCCAATAATAATCGGTTTATATGAAAGCTTTCCCCTTTTCTTTCGTAATCCTATTTAAGATTTTCCGAAATAAAAGAAAAACAAGGTGTCTAAGCTTCCTGTTTATCAATATTTATTTTCTTGGGTAGGTACTTTTTTTATAATATAATGGAACATCTGCGAAATTCACATCTTAATTATGAATTAAGTGCTCCATAGAAATATATAATATATAGATAATAAAAACAAAATATATACATTGCTATAATCTAGTATTTAGAGATGTCAATAATGTAGAGTAAAAAAAATTGTTTGCCCTAAAAAGTATAAAACCGCGCGAGCGAAGCCGCAGGTCCAAAGCTAGTGCACCATACGTTTGTTCAAAGCGTTTTCACGTAAAGTTTTAAATATGCTAAAGTGTCTTCGATATCTTGTAAAATAAAATAGCAATTTAGGTCGTGGATTGTATTTTCGCTAATTGTCGCTCGAGTAATGACCAATAGAATATGTATGAGTTCGGTACCTATAAAAAATGCAAAATAAGTGCGATAGTACCTATGCACAGTCCATTAACAACATCCTGTGGAAAAAGGTTTGTTTAATGCAGATTTTCATTTGTTACGCATGTGTGCGTGTGTCGAAAAGTAAAATAAAACACAAAAAATTGAACTACAATAATACTACAATAAATGACAGATACGGATTTTTGATAAATTGGATTTCCGCTTCCTTTTCTTCAAAAACGATAAAAATTTAGGTTCAACGCTTTGTAATTATTGATTGTATTATCTCTAATGATTTGCCATTTTTTGCTTTAATCATGAATATTTTTAAATAATTGCCTAATAACAAAAAACCTACTATTTTTTTTTAATTAAGTACCACAAAATACATAAACATATACAATATACCACCATATAAGTAATAACAAAAATTAATTACTTTTCATAATTTTTAATAATGGTTGCTATAGCAACTTTTTTATTGAAATATTTAGTTACATAACTTTTGATTTGGGTTGTATTGTGTAGTATAGGCTTTGGGCTTTTTTATTATGCGTGGGAATACAATATATATATATTGTATTCCCACGCATAATAAAAAAGCCCAAAGCCTATACTACACAATACAACCCAAATCAAAAGTTATGTAACTAAATATTTCAATAAAAAAGTTATCAATCAATTAAAATTATATTTAAATAGTAAGGTTATCAAACTAACCGAAAATTAATAAAAACAACATGCAATGACATTTTTCTAATTAAAGAAAAAATAGTTTATTTTTAAAGGTTATCGCGAATAAAATATCTGAATTATTGGGTCTTGCAAAAATATTGATTAGTTAGTTAGTTTTCCTTCAATATCGTCAGTTGTTTTATTAAATAAAAAAAATTGGTAAGTTTTTTATATTTTGACGTTTGTGTATTTTTTTTATCTACTTGCAATTCAAGAACGCAACTCGTATTTATATATGAGCGTCTGGAAATTACTGATGTGGAACGAAGCATGGCTAAAAGAAGCCCACCTGTGTAGTGTTTTGAAACATTTTTGTGCTTAATTTTTTAAATTTTTTCGAATTTAGTTATAACCGGCTTAAAATGACAGTTGGGATGACATTCTAAAAACAGTAATATTTTAAAAAGCAATATCCAGTAATTTACATTTTTAAGACGCTGCATCTAGCTTAGGTTTTAAGAATGTCAACTTAAGATAGCTGTCTCAAGAATATAACTGTTTTAAATTTAAGCTAGCTTTATTTTAAGATGGTCATCTTAAGCTATGACTTTCCAAATACAAACTCTAAAAGTGTTTAACAATTAAAATAATTTTAAAACTTCTATTTATACTTATCACTTTTGCACAAATAGCAGTGAGATGTATTAAACAACAGTTTCAATTGAATCGTTCTACAGTACGTAAGACTTTATTTTATAACTCTTTTAAAAATGCCAATTTAAGATGGCCATAACTGTTTTTTTTATTTTTGCTATGACTCCTCGTTCCAAATATAGAAGTTTTTAATATTAATAACAATTTAAAAACTTTATTTACGGTTTATGCTTGAACAAATGGCAGTGAGATGTAACAAACAACATAAAATTGTTTTAAGACTTAAGCTACAACTGTCCTAAAAATATCAATTAAGCAACCTATAACTGTTTAGTTATTTAAAGATACCTGTCAACTTAAGCTAAATATAACTGTTTTAAGAATGTCAGCTTAAGCCAGCTATAACTGCATTAGAATGAAGCTAGATGTTTAAAATTGTTATTTTAAGCTATATCTCTTTTAAAAATGTCAAATTTAGCTAGCTAACTGTTTTAAGATTGTTATTTTGAGATATCA